TTTTGTGGGTTCACCTACACGGGATCTGCTGCTCGTGACAGTTTTGTGGCTTTATCTCAGTTTTCTTAAGCAATGTTTTGGGGGCCCTCTTTCGTATCGCTCGTCCCAACACGTGTCTTGCGTTGTACGGATTCTCTTGTGAGCTTTCGAGTATCAATACATCAATCCACATTCATAGGTTTACTCGAGCTCCGAATTGGACGGGCAAGCCCAAAGTTGATTGGGCAGGAGCATGTTTGGTGGAAGCCTCCAATCCTGTAATAACATTCCTTCCAGGCGCGCACGGCTCCAGCAATGTATGTTGGATGGATAACATTCTCCACCACAGGAAAGCACGACATCAATCCACTAATAGGCAATAATGGCCAACAGTTTTGATCAAATTTCACAAGCCGCAAAGCAGCAGGTGTTGAAAGCGGTCGGTGCAAATGGGTTTTAAACAACTGAGGCCTCGATTTAAAGAAAACACCCGGATGTCTGGTAGCCATGAAAGTCGTGGGCGTTGAAAGCGGTTGGTGCAGACGGCTGACCCTTCCTTTTCAAAATCAAAGACCCAGATGTTGCTTAGCCATGAATCAGCACAAATGCCACGTTTTGCAAGTGTCAAAAGTTCTTCAGACATTATTTGAGCTTCGTTTGCCTCCCGAGTATGGCTGTTACAAAGTATTAACAGGCCTGAGAAGGTTTTGTTGAGGCTACATATCAATACGTGAGGTTTGGGAAGATCAATCCACGCCCGTGTTAGCTGTCTGGACTAGCCAATGCGTTTGCGTATTTGCATTTGCACTCGTGGCATTACACTTCTCCAGGGCTAACTGAGGTCAGGCAATGTATGCGCAGGCAGTCCACATGTATCTGGTTTAACAGCCTCAAGTCTTGCATCTGGCTGATTATTGTTCCGCCAAACATTCCGTTTTCATGGCGAACGTTGATCAGCGGGAGCAAACACGTCACGGGAGTAGGTTCCCGTGGACTACATCAGTGGACACGGACAAGGTGCTTGGTCAAATTTTGAAATCAAGCTACGGAAATTTGTCGTGGTAGCCGCCGACAGGCTATTGGGACATGCGCTTTATTTGTCATGTACCATTGCTTCTTCCCCTGCATTTGTTGGCGGTTTATCCTTGCGCTTTTTGTTGCATGTTTGCCACATGTGCAGCGTTTGATTGGTTTGGCTCTGTATGTTGGATATGCTTGGCTCAAGAAATCACATCTCCTTTTCTTCCTAACTATTCTAACCTTCCCGGTAGTGAAGTTCGCGTAGACCGTGTCCAGCAATTGCGTTCAAGCATTTCGAGCATATTGTGTTTGGAGAATGTTTCTCCAAATTTATTGGACGCTTAGTCAATCTTGGGGCCGAAGCCTTTTGCCATTGTTCGATTCGGGTTGCACGTCATCAATGGGGATTACATATTTGCTCAGCAAGTGTTACAACATGTTCGGGCCGGAGGAAGCACAAATTGCAAGATAGGTTTTATTACCTTCGTTGCAGACGCATTGAACGCAACTGCAGGAAATACGGTTGTACATAGGCCGAAGAGCCGCGGCCAAATCTCAATCCAGGCGCCCCTGTCAGCGACCTTCATCTGCCTGTGTTTGCTGGAGGATTGGAGGAGTGCAAAATTTGATGACATACAGACATACAAGATTCATGCGCTTGCGTTTGTGTGTGGCCCAAGCATGTATGTGTACTGATTTTGGTGTCAACATTCATGTCTGCCGTGATATGGGCTTTCAGAATCAAATGATTTCACATTTTTTGGGTTTGCAGGAGACCATGCCTCACATCTTCATCACGCTGTTTGTTTCTTTGCCGACAATTCTGGTGGCACGAAGCCCGCATGGCAGCTGTGTGGCACCTGTCTTGCTGCAGAAGCAGCAGGCGTTGCCGCTCGCATGACAAGGGTTGCAAAGAAAATCACCTAAACATGAGATGCCGATCTGTGTGTGGCAAGTGAGGAATGATCACATTGTGTTGTCTTCAGCATCATCGAAGGCGTGCTACCCCAGCTGGTGCATGGGTTTCGCCTTTGCATGATGTATGCAGTCATGGCTCCTGCCACTTGCAGCATGTGGTCAGCGTACTTGAGCTTCACGGAGCCGAGGAAGGTCGGTTTGTTTCGGTGCAGCGAAACCATAAATCGTGCCAGGAGCAAAGTTTTCAGCAGCAGCAGCAGGAGGTCAGTGCGACCTCAGTTGGCATCCAGCCATCCGTGAACGTTGACTCTACAGAGGCACCGCATCATGTTGCTGGCTACCACCAGCTTGCGCTCAAAACCGCATTTGTTGGGAGGTGGATGCGGAACATTTCGGTGCCTCCGCAGTGCGACATAAATAAAGCTTTATCTTTACCGCAAATGCACAAACTGCCCGAACTCTACGAGTGTGCAAGATTGGTTTGATCTCTTTTTTTAGGTGCGTCCAAAACGATCGACAAGGAGCTTCGAACCCCGTTGGCGATGTTTTGTTTGGCACGTGTAAGCAACTCGGTTTGTGTCTATCTTTGTGCACGCAGACGTTCAGGATGAGGCGGAGGTGAAATCGCTGCTGAAGGATAGCCCTTGCGTTTTTGCCATATTTTTGGCACCGTGGTCATGATGTCACATCATATTAGGGCGGCCTGGAGAGCGAAATGAACTTTTGTCTCCCCAGTGCAAGTCTCAGTCCGTCATGGCAAGATGCGCGTGCATATCTGTGTCTGTGTTGACAGACTTCAGCCTGATTTTCAGTGAGCCTGATCGCCTTGAGGTCCGTCGCAGGCTTTCGTCGATGTGGTGCAGGCTGGAGGGTGCGCTTTTGACGGGACTCGCGTTCAAGCAGTGCTGTGAGGGCAACGCCACCAACATTGACACCGTCCTTTTGGACATGACGAATGCCTTCAACAACAGCGAGGCAGGATTTTGGCGCCACAAAGCTGTTGGTAATGCTTATTAAGTATTTTCGAAAAAGTTTCTGCTCACATCAAGCGGAGTGAGGCTTGCGAGCCCAATCAAGTCGTATTTTTCTAGCTTCTTGCTTCGCCTATGAGGTGCTCGACATCCTGGTCACCGCGATTACTATGGATGGCGCCTACGTAGAAGGCCAGTAGCCATGAATCCAGCCACAGGTGGCTCCTGGCCTGAAGCATTGAGAGAATAATTAATTTATATTTGCATTCTTTCTGCACAGCGTGTGTGTTTCTCTCTAGTCTCGCTCCCAGCAAGTTGGTTCGGGATTTCTGCGTCGTAGCTGCCCGGAGGTGCTGGGTTCTGGGCATCGCTTGGTGAAAACACGGCAACACATCTTGTTCTCCAGCTTGATCGAGTCAGGCTGCATGGCTTTTACGCCAGTTGTGTTTCTTGATGCTGTCCGGAGATTGAGGTGGCTGATGTCGTGCATTGCCGAAACATAATCCGACCAGACGTCCTTGTTCCTGTTGCTCAACCCAGGTCAGTAATTGACATTTTCCAGCCTCCTACAAGTATCCGCACCAGTGACCTTCAAAGCCAGGACAAGAGTCCCAGTCTGCATCCTTGATCTCCCAATTCAGCATGCAGCAGCTGCCTGTATTGAGCAGAGTTAGATCGGTAGGAAGACTTGAAGGTTTTGGATGGCTTGACATGAATCAGAATCTCTTGGGAGGAGGAAGTAGCCCTTGGAGTTGGAGATGGATGGTTGGACGTGCTCGCTTTGCAGCTTGGCTCGCTGAAGGCTCTATGTGGGTGGGCTCGTTTTGGTGCTCAGGTTGCCTTGCCCTCCGAAAATGGATCAGAAGGCTGCATGCGTCAGCATGGGCAGTCGTTTGACATCAGTTCTTGAGCAGACAAGTGGATCCCAAGTGTCGCCTGCAGGTGGTCATTGATGCTTCTCAGTTGGTGAAAGCCTGAGCTATACGAGACCGGAACCGCTGATTCGTCATCCTTGTCACTATGAATCTTATGAGCCTCGCAATAGCATGACGGAAACACGTGTTTGCAGGCAAAGTTGGCGAATCGATAACAAGGAGCCAGACCAGAAAACAGATTCAGCAGAAGACAAGGAGACAAATTGGCATGTCAAAGGCATCTGTCTTTCAATATTCATGCCAGCAATGGCCTTCATGACAACTTACTAAGCACCACCACATCACGTATTCATCAAAAAGATTGTCGTATTTCCGTGCGGATGCACCCGAAAGTACCGAGCATTGATTCAACAAGCTCAGCACATGCCAAGGACGGCAAATAAAGAATTCAAGATGCAGGTGCGTGCAAAGTCCCAAGACGCAAAAGATTTTTTAAAAAAATGCGGCGGCGCAGCGTCGGCAACCACGGCAGGTCAACACAGCCCGCACTGGTGCAAGGAAGCTCGACTCTTGAAGGCTTAGCTTGGCTTAGCTTGGCCTGGCTTGGCTTAGCTTCATGACCTGGGCGTGGCTGGGCTCGGTTTTGGTTCATTCTTTACATCCTGTTCCCTGCACTATCTTTGGGCTGCGTGCTGGCCAATGTGGGGTTTGTTGGACCAGGTGGTTTGCAATGCAGCTTTTGTGGTTTCCAGCTTGCTATTTGAATAGCCCACTGCCTGCATGGGCATTAAACTGCGGCTAAGCCACAGGCTGGTTTTCCATGCAAGCCCTTGCGTAAGCAGTCTGTGCTTCCTGCTTTCTATCCAGTGTCCTTGCAGTTGTTGCTCATAGGCAACTCGAAGCGAAGTTGAACCGAAAGATACAGAAGTGAGGATGTGCACTTTGTTGGCAAGTTTTTTTTTTACTGGCAATGGTAGATATTCGCAAGAGTAGATGAACACTCCCGCAAGCAGTTCATGTCAAGTGTGATGGACCTTTCAGACATGGTGACAAAAACGCGAAAGTGGCTTCCAGTGAGACTTGCATCGGAGACAACTTGTCAGTCGTGAGCTCTGTGCACTGAAGCAGGGCAATTTTTCTTGACGTCTGGAATGCAGCCTACTGAGAACTGTCCCGAAATGATTAGATGAGACACTGCGGGCTGACGCAGCATTGGAGCCTTGCGGCAGCTCTCGAACAGAGACATTTCAAAGTTTGGCAAAGAGGGGATAAGCAGGCTTGAGACCACCGAAGGGTGGACTCACAGTCATGAAAGCATCATGGGAATGAATGGAGCCTCTCGCTTGTTGCAGCGTTTTGATGAACTTGGCAGGTCTCTTCTTTGTGAGTCATTGCGTTAACATCTTTCATCAGCGTCTCCCAAGACGTAACCTGTGCATCTTGCCGTGCTGATGGTTCTTGTCTCAGGTGTCGCGAATGTTCTACACTAACGTGCTAGACAGCTTCGCGAGCTACCGCATCGTTGCGGCTGAGGAAAGGAAACCGGCACTCTTATTCGTAGTTGGGCTGTAGCATACTCTGACAAGCATTCCAAGAAGAAAAACAACTTGGTGCCAAGCCATACTGTGTGGGTGGAGGCCTACCCTCAGAACTTCGATGTGACCGTGGAATACCTCAGCGTACCAGCACCAGTGATTTTGGGATTCTCAGTGGCAGCTTGGCTGTGACCTCGGTGATGGAACCTCGAGGCAACCAAGTCACTCCACGTGTTTCTTGTGACGCCTAGGTAATGCTTCCATCGAGACCAATGAAGCCTCGCGTGGCCGATGACCGGTTGCTGTATTTCACGACAGATGCTTGGATTAATTGAGCTCATTGGAGAAGACATTGAAATGCTCCTGGATGAGCTTGTGTGCGTTTGCTGTGCTGGTTCTTCGATCAGGACTTCATGGACGTGGGATACCATCAAGCGGACTCGCACACTCTGCCGAGCGAGGTGCAAGTTGGTAGCATGGTTTGGTAGCTTGAGGAGGTCCAAATGTGCTGCTTCTGGAAGGCAGTTGATCGGCAAATGTCTGTCATTTGGCGCTGGGATTTGGCAAAGCTTCCAAATCGGACCATAAGGCGTGACTGTTCGGTAGAGCCTCTCGCGATACATGTTCGACAACATGTTTGGCAGGATGCATGTGGACCCAACTGTGCCACTTCGATGGCAAATGTGGGTAAAGGAAGGCATCGAGGCGGGAGACTATTCTGGGTTCATCCGCCTGCAGCTCCTCGCAATTTTAGGAGGCTTTTGCCTTCAAATGGGAGGCTTGGAACGAGGCCTTTGTGCCGATGCGGCAGCCAGCGACAGTCAGAGCTGAAGACTCAAACGGATGTGGGGAGCGGGAGATGTAATTGTGCTTGGAGCTGCGTCAGGGCTGTTTCTTGGGTGCGTGCCCCTTTAAGGCAGTTCTTCCATCTGATGATGATTGGCCCCAAGACTACAACCTTGCCAGATGCCTGGAGTGATGTTTGAAATGGGAAATACATTGCCGCTCAAACCTATTCAAGGGCTCGAAGCCCGAGGCTGATGCACGTTTCAATGCCATTTACTGGTCGCTATCAGATGAGATCTCCAGCGAGGGTGATGCCCAGGTGGATTGTGTACCATACCATGATATACCATAATCTTTTATATGCAAGGCCAAAAAAAATTAGATGCAAGGCCATAAAAAATAATATGGTATAGGTTACTATAATTATGCTAATTATATTTATACTCCTTGTATATTATACTCAGGTATATATAGGGGTTATATAGACTGTAACACGAAAAGCCCTCCCAAGCCAAGCTTGGCCAAGCATGGCCAGGTGGATCCGCGTACGGGCGAGATCCTGAAGGCGGATATCCGCATGGGCAGCGGTGGCCTGGCCCTAATATACGAAGTATATATATATAATATAGTAAAATATACTCTAGTATACTATAGCATGTTATAGTATACTATGGTACATTATGGTATATTTAGTATAATGCGGGTATATGTATATATATATGTGTGTGTATAATCCCAATACATACCCTGTTATAATGTAGTAGTTTCTATTTTCTTTCCCACTATCCCTACACCCTATAGTAGTTTCCATTTTCTTTGCCATTATCCGGGGTGTGTGGGGGCATATGCTTGCTTGTGGCTTTCTTTGGTCGTGGCTTGTGCCAATGATTTGATGTCGTTCTTGTCTCTCTGCACGCGCAGCGCTGAAGATGGCTACCCCTGCGAATGTCATTGGGCTCCGGTCTCGCGTGTTGTAGCTGTCCACAACCCTGAAGGCCAACAACCCTGAATCGTAAAATGCATACACACTACGAACACCATCAACTCGGCACACCCTCAGTTCCCTAAACCCCAAACATGTTAATACCGTACTGAGAGAAATCAGAGAACGCCATGAGCTCCTGTGGGGCCTGCAATCTCAACGCTCCAAACGTCTGTCGTATGAATCGTGCATGGCAACAAGTATCAACAATCATAGGTTCTACAGATTCATGGATCCTGAAAACCTAAGGCCCTTCACCCAAAGTCTAAAGTCCAAATCCAACAGGCGCAGAACACGGCAAGCCTCGAATCTCCAAGCCACACGAAGCCTGACATCCTAAATCTGGAGCTTCCTAAAGCTTTTGAATTCCAAAGCCCCAAGACCTAAATGCTTCGAGAGGCTGACGCCTGAAAGGCTGCCGAGAACGAAAAAACACAAAAGACCAAATCACGAAAAGTGCTAGGCTCCATAAGCCTGTACATGGCAGCATCCTGCAACGCTTTGAGCACCATTAACCTAAGCGCCCCAAACATGCTAACGCAAAGTCTACATGCCCTGAATGCTACGGCTCGAAATGTGCACGCCCTTGACGGTTCCAGGCCGGGCACCTCCAAATCAGAAGCCCCAGGCCTCAGCGGCCCCAAGTGACCCCTGCGCACAGATCCCTTAACCCTCAAAACCCTAGGAACTGAGCCGCAAGGAGTCCTACCTCGCATGAAGGTGAACAACCTGAAGTGCATCAGCCCACAGAGCCCAGAAACCCAAGAAGCCGTAGACCCGAATCGAGCCTGAAGGACGCAAAACGCGGTGCATTGAAGACAGAATTACCTGCGCGAGTGCTGAGAAACGCCAACAGAGACCTGAGAAACGCTGAGAACCCACCCGACTTTTTTGACAAGGCTGGGTCTGGGCTTGGCTCTCTGAGCTCGACCTCCTAGCGGCCAATGCTACGCACGAGGATCGCCTGGCGCTGCTGGGGCAAGGCGCGCAACTAGCGGCAGCTAGCGGCAGCTAGCGGCTTTTTGATGCCTGGCAGTCCTTTTGAAAGCCGTTGTCTTTCAGGAGTAAAGATGGCAAGGCCGCCGAGATATTCCACGAGGTCATAGCAGTTTCATGAATGACGCTTAAAGAGATTTGCCCTGGAATGTCCTGAATGTCTGCCTTCGCAGGCATCGACGCAAGCTCGGGAGCTGGCAGTCTCAGCAGCTCGGCTGGCTGAAGGGATAAAGTTTCTTCTTCCAGACGGGCTTAGGACACGCTAGTGATGCAGAGCGGAGGCATCCACGAAAGCCCACCAAGATCCAGAGCTCCAAGGGTACGGATGGGCAGGCAAAAGCAGCAGCTGAGAAAGTGTTGCTTTTTCTGCCGTGGATAGTGGACGAAATGCCAGGTGAGCTCTGCAGCACAGACCCCAGAGCAAGGTGTGCACGGTGCACATGCTGGGCCGCTGCTGCTATCCATGAGCCAGCCGCTGACTGCCTCTCAGCTGGAGGCAAGGAACTGATGGGACATGCAAGTTGTCTTGAAGACCCTTCCACATGGTGTTTTCTTGCATAGAATGGCGGGCAGCGCTGGCTAGCACGGGACCGGCTTGCGAGATTTCTCTGGGCAGGTATTGATGGGAGAGGGCCTCCGAAGTGTGGTGATGCACGAGATGGGCCACATCCTTGGCCTGAGGCGGTCTGCGCCCATAAGGGTGAGGAGAGGGTGGGGGTCTTTGCTTCCATGTCGCAAGCTGCTTCTGGAGCGGGTTAATTGCCAGGAAAACTAGCAAATGCACAGGTTTTGCAGGCAATCTTGCAGTTCTTTGCTGACCTCCACAGGCACAACTTCAAAGGAAGCACGGCCATCAGCCAGACGTGTCTACAGAATCGGAGCTGTCACTTGTCTGAGCTATGATCAGACACGGGTAGACATGTGCTAACTTTTGAGTGTTACCTTGGCATGTGCCGGAAAGAAAGACTGCAGCCAGTTTCGATGAACATGCTAGGCTCATTCAGGTATTCACACGCTTCGAAGGACAGAATGCCAAATTGCTTGTTTATGTGAATCATGTTTTTGTCTCTTGCAGTTGTTGGCGTTGAAGACTTCCGACTGAAAGCAGTTTCCTTCTTTGTGTTGCAAAGCTCTGCTGGCCAGCGTCAAACCAGCTTGTAGCAGAAGTACTTCAGATTGAACGAGTTGTTAGTCTTGTCTTGAGGCGACCCGCATGGGGCTCCAGTTATAAATAGTTATAAAGCTCCACCGTGGTGCCAGCATGATGCTAGCATGTTGCTAGTTTTCGTGCCATAGGCAACCTTACAAGAGGTAACAGCAAGCCAGGACACAAGGCCCCCCCCCTGTTACCTGAAGGTCTAGTGCTTGTCAAGCTGTTTTATCTGCAGGCTTGCTACCCTGCTACCCTTGCATGCATCACTCTAGCGTTGTCACTGATCTAGCTGAAGCAATTGCTAGGTGCAGGGAAGAAATGCACACTGCGCCTCTGTAACTTTACTGTCATAAATATTGAATGTCCGAGGCACTGGGGTGCATAGCCTCTCCGCGAGTGCCTTGCTGCAAAAAGTTGGGTCAAAGGACTAGAGTCTGCTGCCAAGGAACATGTGACTTCAGATGTTCCTATGCAAGTGGAATGGTTCAAGTGCTTGATCAGGCATCATGGACTATGTCCCGATGAATCTACCGGAGCCTGGGCACGACCCAAATTCCGTACACATCTTCCCGCCGACCATCGGGGCCTATGACGCATGTCTCAGATTGAATATGTTTCAGGGCTGCGGAGCCTTCAAGGGTTGGGCTGCAGGGAATGACTTGCGTGTGAGGACAAGCTGGCAATTCGCTTTGGCTACACGGAGCCTTCCGAGCTGCCTTTTGAGACCTTCTCGAAGCCGCTGGGACGAAGAAGACTTGCTACAAAGCACAATATTGAATATAACCCATTATAATAGTTTCCATTTTCGTTTCCATTATCCCAATATTACCCCAACATAATTGAATAGGCAGCTCCTTGGAGCTTACGAGACTTCTTGCTTATCAGCCATGGGTTGTGAGACAGCATAGGTCCTTTTGGACCCTTTGGTGTGACATTTCTGAAGACCGGGGCTTGCGCCATGTCTACCTGAAATGTGTAGCCGCTGCCGCCACCCTGCCCTTGTAGCGATCGGATCGTTGAACATAGTTGTGTGTAACCGCCCCTCTCCTGCGGACGGCCCCCCTTCTGCGATGCATCTTTCGACATGTTTTGAAGTTGATTTCAAGCTTGTATTACGGTTCAGTTTTTTTGCAGTTTGTCGCTTCCGTTGTTGAATCCAAATTATCGTTTCCAGGTAAAGTCTAGTAGTTGTCACTCTGCTGATGCAAGCTGCCCCGACAGACTTCAAAGATCATTGTGCTTTCTGTGTGAGTCTTATTGCTTTACCAGGGATGGAAACAGATTCATGAATTCTCAACCTGCCCTTACTTAATTCCTATATATGGGGTTATTGTGCTAGAAAGTGGACTGTCTCATCCTCGTGACAGGCATGCAAATACAAGAATGAAAGGGAGATCCATCTCGACTCCCTAAAATCTCCCTGTGTCATCGCGTTTGTGGAACGAAAACGATGGACATGGTTTCGAGTCAGATAAGTCAGTTTTTCCCCACCCTCGCAATGGGGTTG